GTCTAAGTTTGTTGAGAATCCATGCACAACAGCGCTTATGCTTGCTGCACCAACTGATAGCAACAGGGAGGAGAGGTATTAAGATTTATTTTCACCAGTTTCCTTGGAAAGAATAATATATCATCCCAATCCTGTCATCGAACATGTGTGAACTTAGATAAGTGACTCAACTCTGTATTCGTTTCTTCATTGAAAATATAAACTTGAAAGTACTTGCCTTGCATGTCAGTAAAAATAAAATTACAAAGATTTGGAGGCTTGGAAAGGCACAAAATACTTTGCAAATATAAGGGATGATCATATTCCAAGTCAGAGTGGGTTCCCAGTTCAAATATTCCAAATATACTAGTGTTGTGAATATGTAGGGGTGCATAGGGCAGCTTCAACTGCTTGCTGGGTTTTTGTGAGACACGAAGCATTGGTCCTAATAATAACCTTAACCATGGGCATGTTGCAAATCAAGCTGGAGAAGGATAGACATGAAGAAAGAAGAAAATGAGAGGAGAAAGAAGCAAGTCCAGACACTTGGAAGGTTCTGTGAAGTCAAAGAGCCAGTGTAGTGATGGGTGCTCCATAGAGAGAGGATATTCCCTTCCCTAGTGCAGTCACGGCTCCATTACATGCCACACGACTCAGCAGTCTTGAGTGGGGAAACAAAGAATAACTCAACAGGATAGAAATTAAATTAGCAGCATGGAAGAACTTGAGTCATATTTGAGTAGAACAGTGATATTATTTCCCTAGCTCTGGTGATATTTTTTCCCCAAAGCTTGGCTGTGGACAGCTTTAGTCATATATCTCTCCTGAAAGTTGTAATTCACTGTAGTTTCTCACGTGTTCATGTATCACATTGAGTGTTGACAGGCTGGGCATTTAATTATCTGAGAACTGCTGTACTTTCTTTGCTTCTTGAATAATGAACTGGATTCTGTACCAAAGTGTGAGGTACTTACAGCTTCTTTCAGACACCTGGGATTCTGCCTTGGGTTGCACAGGGATTCAGTTATTCACATATACCCCAAGAGGGCAAGTGAAGCAATTATCTGGAGATTTCAAGAAAACCACTGACTCATCTTAATTATCTGGATGTAGGTAAAATCCCATTTCAACAAACTTTAACATGCTGTCCTAATTACTTTGAATATTGAATATTGTTTATAAGAAGCGAGTCATCATTTGGGTATTAGGCCTCTACAGGCTGTTATCATTGTAATGGTGTCTGTTATAATCAGATTTAACCTGCTTAAATTACCTTAAGAAATGGTCTGAAATGATTACTTCATTTTTTAAAAAAAACTATATAATCCACCTTGAGTAGAGATGAGCAGAAAATGCCCCTATCAATAATGTATTTGAGATTGCTGAACATGAACTCCGCCACAGTCGAATTATGGTTCTAGCAAAACAATTTTTTTCCAAGTTTGCCTGAATGAAGGCAGCAGTGGGCTTGGGCTCCTGTGCTAGTTAGTTTTGCATTCCGGCCGGCTTGTCTAGATCGGCTTGCACACAGTGTAGTTCAACCATGTCTGAGCACTGCCTTTCCTTAGCCTGGCCTTTCACATGGGGTGATTATCTAGAGCTGCTTCATTTGCCAAGGTCATCACTCTGGGAGCCTAGCCTTTCCTCTGGTCATGTTAGGCACTACTACAAGGATCTGGGGCTTGTGACTTTACATTTTCACACCATTATAATGGCCTTAATTACTACAAGGCCAGAAGAGGTGGAGCCCCCATTAAGAAACAAAAGAGCAACATACCAAAGTACTACCTGAAGGCCTAACATACTGTCTCATGCACAGAGGGTGCTTGGATATTTACTAAGTAAATGAGAATGTATCAAGGCCATGCCCCCTTCTCAAACACAGCTGCCATAGAGCTTTCTAGAAAAAAAAAATTGCTTCACGCAGAAGTGTAGTTTGACCCAACTTAGTTTTCACTTCAAATCTTTATTTTAACTGACCCAATTGCCATCAGCATCTTGAGGCCACATAGGCCGCTCAAACAACATTACAAAAGGCCAGTGTGTTAGGGGGTCCCCACAATGGCTGCTAATGACCCTGCCTCTTCGTATTCATGCCCTTGAGAAGGCTGGACCTAGAGAATTGCTTCTAACAAAGTGTGACAAAAACTTAAGGAATATGAATTCTCAGGCTAGATGCCCAAAGACTCTAGCATCTGTCTTACTTGTTCTCTCTTGCTCTTTAACCCTCTCTACCTCTCCCTAGTTTTCTTTCTCCCTCATTCTCTCTCTTTGTCTCAGAGCCATTGCTCTGGGGGAAGCCAGCTGCCATGTTGTGAGTAGTTCTATGAAGAGGCCCACGTGACAACGAACTCATGTCTTGGCCAACAACCAATGAGAACCTGAGGCTTGCCAGTAGCCATGCAACTGAGCTTGGAGGTGGGTCTTCTGAGGATTCCCAACAGCCATGTGAGTCAGCTTAGGAGCAGACCCTTCCCTGGTCGAGCCTGGAGATGACTGCAGTCCTGATTGATACCTTGCTTGCAGCCCTTTGAGAGACTCTGAGTCAGATATACCCAGCTAGGCCATGCCAGGACTCCTGATCCACAAAAGGGAGATAAGAAATAGAGGTTGTTTTCAGTTACTAAGTTCAGAGATGATTTGTTACACAGCATACATAGCTAAGACAGCCAGTCTCATGTTTTTTAGGGTATTGTAACAATCTGATGAATGGTATTCTTGTTTCCATACACTACTTTTCCTTGCCAAAAATTTAATCATACTCATCTCAGTGAAAAATATTTTATGGTCCCTTATTACTCCAAAATAAAAATTCTGACATCAAGCACAGAATATTCTAGGTCTTTTGTCATCTGATACTTACCTGCAGCTTTTCAAACTATTTTCTGTCTGTGCTACCACTTTTTCTTTTCTTTTCTTTCTTTTTAATAGGGTCTCTCTCTGTCACCTAAGCTGCAGTACAGTGGCACCATCATGGCCTACTGTAGCTCAACCTTCTGGGCTCAAGCAATCCTCGCCTCAGCCTCCCTAGTAGCTGGATTGCGGGCATGCACCAATATGCCCAGCTAATTCTTTTTTTAAATTCTTTTGTGGAGATAGGGTTTTGCCATGTTGCCCAGTCTGGACTCAAACTCCTGGACTTAAGCCAACTGTTTGTCTCAGTCTCCCAAAGTGCTAGGATTACAGACAAGAGCCACCACACCTGCTGAATGCTCAGACTTTAAATGTCTCTGTTCCAACCACATCAAACTACTTGCAATTGACAAGCACACCACAATTTTTGTGTTCCTCTGTCTTGTCCTGGCTGTTTCCTCTCCCTGGAATGCCCTTCCCACGTCACCTGTGGTGGTGACATCTGGAAAACTGCTACCCATCCTTCTAGATCCAGGCTCCAACTTCCTTTTTGTAATGCCTTCTCTACTATAGATAAAGTGGGACACTTTTTCCTCCATGTTCCCATAGTTCTCTGCTCCCGCTCTACCATTCTCTTCCTGACTAGACCATGGATTTCTCACAGGTAGAAGAAAATAATTCCTAGAGCATGATTATTAAAAGCAAAGGGTTAGGAGCGCCCCCCAACTAGATTCAAAATCCTTTCCTTATCTCTTTACTTAGCTATGAGCCTTGGACAAGTTATTTAACCACTGATATGGTTTAGCTCTGTGTCCCCACCCAAATCTCATCTCAAACTGCAATCTCTGCGAGTCAAGGGAGGGCCCTGGTAGGAGGTGACTGGATGATGGGGGCAGTTTTTCTTCTGCTGTTCTCATGATAGTGAGGGAGTTCTAATGAGAGCTGATGGTTTTAAAGTGCAGCACTTCCTTGCTCTCTCCCTCCTGCTGCCACATAAAACATACTTTGCTTCCTCTTCTCCTTCTGCCATGATTGTAAGTTTCCTGAGGCCTCCCCAGCCATGTGGAGCTGTGAGTCAATTAAAACTCTTTTCTTTATAAATTACCCAGTCCCAGGTAGTATCTTTACAGAAGTGTGAGAACAGACTAACATAAACACTGAAGACTTAATTTTCCAAGCTACAAAATGAAAATAATAATAGGACCTATGTACAGGGTTGTTTTATAGTTAAGTGAGATAATATGTGAAAAATGCTCAGCATAGGGCCTGGCAATAAGAGTTAAATGTATATTAATTATTATTTATAATTATAATCACAGAGATAAGCACAAAATAAAATTTCAATTACTGTTTCATGATTCTCTGAGAATTATTTGCATTTTCACCGGGGACAAAGGCATGTGAAAAAAGAAGTGTGACCATGGGAGAATTTCAGAAATCACGGACACCTGTTTTGCCTCCTTCTCAGCTTGGCCCTGGGTATTAATATTAAAACGGATAATAAATTAGCAGGTAGGAAAGAGAACAGGGTTCATTTATTCACTGGACTCTTTGTCAAGAGTCTGGAAATGAGAAATTTTCCCCAAATGAAAGATTAATATTAATGTGATGAAGTGATTGTAGTCTTGAGGATGAGAAACCTATTTCCATTTTTTTTTTTTTGGAAAGGAAAAATTGCCAGGGAATCTATTCAAGGGACTCACAGTCTTTGGCAAGCCCTTTCAAGCAGCAGGATGCAGTGGAAGGGGCAGAGACTGAGGATTCCAATGACCTGAGTTCTAGATCCAACGCTGCCTTGACTAGTGTGTGCCTTAAGGTAGAACACACTCACTCCATCTGTAAATGGGGGAGAGTAACATCCATTCTCCCTTATTCACAGCACCATGGGGGGGAGCAACTGAGATCATGAATGTGAAGACAATGTGTGAAAGTTTAAGAAAACAGAAATTCATGATGTACATATTTTCATGATTTCCTATTTAAATAAGAAATAGCCAAGTATGTGTAAGGACAGCAATGGAAGATATAATTGATTCTGCTTATGTAAATGTGGTGTTTTTCTTATAAGCTTTCCAAAAAACTCAAAAGGAAGTCATAAGACTAAAAGTCATTTAAAGGAACTTTTTTTTTTTGGAGTAAAAGCAATTTTTCTTTTTTGAAACTAACAGAACACAATGAAAAGAAAAACAACCTGAGGGATCCAATATTTAACATGAAGCAACTAAGGGTTACAAACCAGGAGCTGGCTTCTTTATGCAGTGTTTGAGTCGTTGCTGATGTCCTTGGACCAGTAGATCAACTCCTAACATTAGTAAGTATGTGTATTTTCCAGGGGTCTATTTAGAATCTCCTCATAGTTACACTTAACAACTTGTCTTAGAAGGAATAACCCATCTGATCTTCAGAAACCTCTGTTATAAGCAGGTATTTTTAAAAAATCAAATGTGGAAGAGAACTCTAGGTAAACTAGGTAAACATGATTGTCCTGAAAGGGTACTTCATTTCAAAAGAGAAAAATAGTGAAAGAAAACGGTAGGTGACCAAAATAGTCTACATATTAAACAAGGTCTTCCAATTCCAGTGGTTTCTTCTTTGATAATCTCTCAGAGATAAAAATCACTCTTCCCAATTTGAAACAAAAGTAAATGGATGTTTGCAATGCTAAGAACCCCTGTGGAAATGAGGCGAAATGAGACAAGGTCTTCAGACCTGTGAGAAAAATCAATCTGATGGAAAATTGACAAACTTGTTTAACATGGGGCACAAGAGCCAAGGGCTGACCCCAGAGGCCTCCTCTGAGACACCCAGTGAAGTTCCCGTCAGTTCCCTTAATCCGTTCAATTACACAACAGCATCCTGAAGGGAACCTTTTTTTCTTTAGCCAAACATCACTTTAAATTAACTTTTTTGCCATTGTGTTTTAAATTCCAATTTCCTTCTCTTCATTCTTTCTCTACACTAAATTATTAAAATCACCAACTGCTCTACAATCAAAAATATTTCAGAAAGCAGTGATGCCAAATTTGAATTGACTAAAGTGAAATCAGACAGAAGGAAAGATATTTTGAACATTTCTACGCTTGGTGCATTGTTTAAAGATATGGCAACAAGTAATTAAAATGGACTAGTTGGCTTTTCCCCACAAAACCAACCCAGTGTTGGCCTCATTACAGCCTAATTCAGACCAGAGAGACATCTGAGTGAAGTGAAACACACCAATATATTTACAAATAGACTGACTTTTGTTCTTCATCTATAACTTGTTCCTTTTTTATTAAAAAAAGTTAAGCTACACTAAAATAAAATAACTAAAATAAGCCTTTTATTTGGAAATTCAGATTGAAAAGGCAAAGCAGGCTAACTTTTAGAGCTAGAGAGAGAGAGGACTGGTTTTTTTTTTTTTTTAAAGAGCAGATTTCACTCAAAATGTCACATCAGCGGACTTGCACATGAAGCTGGTCATCTAAATTCTGACTATTTTCTTTTCACTTACCATCATCTATCTACACATGACAGAAATAAAAATGTATACACAGCCTCACAGAGGAAGAATTACACTCCACCTCTCCACCTTTACATACAAACACACCTTAGCCACGGGCCTTGTTTTCGGATGGGTGGTGTACACTGAGCAGGGCAACTAGACTAGCGTTGATACTCGACACCTGTCAACTCATGGCTTCTCCTCCTCCTTATTACACTGCATTCAGTTCAATGGCCAAATTCAAACAATTGTCACAGTACCTAGTGCTAAAGATGCAAAGAGAGTCCCTGCTCTTTAAAAGCTTATGGAATAGTGAGTCCCTTAACATTCCTTCACAGCAGGACCCTGAATTCCAGGCAGCACTAAGCAGAATATTTGTTGGATAGGTGCATCCTCAACCAACAAATTGGCTTTATTTTAAAAAGAAATAAAGAGATGGGTTAGGTGCTAATTGTTTGATTGGAAATCAGTTCACACATTTCCCCCCATGAAAGAAAATGTGCCAGGCACGGTGGCTTATGCCTGTAATCCCAACACTTTGGGAGGCAGAGGCAGGAGGATTGCTTGAAGCCAGGAGTTTGAGACCAGTCTGGGCAACAGAACAAGACCCCATCTCTACAAAAAATAATAAAAATTAGTCAGGCATGGTGGTACACACCTGTAGTCCCAGCTACTCAGGAGGCTGCAGGAGGATTGCTTGAGCCCAGGAGGTCAAGGCTGCAGTGAGCCGTAATTATGCCACTGCACACCAGCCTGAGTGACAGAGCAAGACCCTGTCTAAAAAAGGGAAGGAAGGAAGGGGGGGAGGAAGGGGGGGAGGGAGGGGAGAGAAAGAAAGAGAGAGAGAGAGGGAAGGAGGGAGGGAAGGAAAGAAAGAAAGAGAAAAGAAAAGAAATAAGAAAAGAAGAGAAGAAAAGAGAAAAGAAAAGAAAAAGAAAAAAAAAAAAGATTCCTCTGGTGGTGGTGGTGGTTACAAGCCTGGACATATGAAAGCCTATTTAACTCCTAATGTGGTCACAATTCCCTACAATGGTAAAGAAGAGTGCAAAGGTAATTCCACTGTTGTTGTAAATACGTGCCATTTCAAATATGAGTTTCATATTTTAAAAAATCTGAACTAACTCTCAGAGTATAAAAAATACTTTCAAATATTACCTGTTTGACCCTGTGAGAAAATGGACTTACTGATCTTGGTTTTTATAAGTTAGGGAACTAGGCTTCATGGGGGCCAAGCAACTCCCTAAGCATCAGCTGGTTAAGAAGTAGTAGTTCAGGGACTGGAACCCGGGCTTCTGGCACAAGAGCCCATGTTAGTCTTTCTACATAAGACTGTCTCAGAATATCTCTGGGGTGATTCAAGTGATATAACAAAGCAGTGAATTTTATTTAAAATTAGAAAAAAAATGTTCACCTTGAATTTTCCAATGTTCCTGGGATATTTGATGTCTTCCTTGTGACTTTGAGAGTAAGTCTACCTCAGAGAAGAATGAATTTATCCTGAAGCAGTTTTTCTGGCAGTGGATGAGAAGCTCATTAACCATATATTCACTAAGTTTTTTAGTTCTTGGTTCCATTTCTATGTAATAACCATCTTAAAAAATTTTCCTCTTTAAGTGGCCAGTTTGGAAACCAACGCAATAATTAATCAGAAAAGAGAGAGGGGAACTGCTGCTAAAATATAAAGACAACGCTTGTAAAGATTGATGCTGCTTAGTTTGAACATAGGTCATCTAAGAGATTTGTTTGGTTGATTGGCTGGTTGGTTGGTTGGTTTAAATGAAAGAGTAAAAACATCTCAGGGCACTCATTAAGGCATTAGTTATACAAAGTTTACATATTTTACCAAGAATTTTATTTAAAAGATTAGGTCTTCAAGAAAATTAGACTGAAGTCAATTGTATTTTTTTCCTGAAGGACTAAAGAGTCTAAAGGGACCAAAAGCATTACCAAAAACACGGCCCTTATAAGAACCGATTTTAAAATTAAAACACCTGAATTTTAGTCCCATGCTGAAGGTAAAGAGACAAAGGCATTTATACTCCAAGTTGTTAGACTGTCAGAAGTGAATGTGTTTGTGTCTGGCTGCATAAATGCATTATCTCCAGCTATTTCTAAATTCAGAATACGTCTTCTGTATGAAGACTTACCCTTGCCCTCTCTGCCCAACTCCACATCACTTATAATACATACGTAGTTTATTACTGTACCATGCTATGGTGACATATTACTTTTACTTTGTGAGTCGAATATTGCACTTTGCCAAATGTTAGCAAGCTGTAAGCTTTTGTTAGCTCTCGTGGGAAATTTGTGATGGTGTGAAGTGAACTCCTGTCACCACTCAGTGGATTGCAAAACTGGTATAGCTCTTGCTAAAGACCTGGATCATATCTTGAAAGATTGCCTGATCACATCAGCATCTTCAACAAGACTGGTTGTAGCCAACCTTTTTCCAGTGTGTGAAATGGATATAGTACGTTTACAAATGTATGGTTGGCTATCTTCTTCCCATTGTATTCCTTCTAGCTAATCTTTTGGCATGGATTTTTCTAAGTATAAAAAACACAAGGTAAGTATACCCAGGCACCTTTCTTGGCTCCCTACAGATACTGAATTGACCGCAATTAAGTATTATTGCAAAAAGAGGATGTTTTGTTGTCCCACTGACTTAAATTCAAGGCCAAGCTCTGTTGCTAAGTAGACGCGTAACTTTGGGCAAGTTACCTAGCCCTCCTGAGTCTTAGTTTCCTTCTATGCAAAACAGAAGTTATAATGTCTGCATCACAGATTTGAGAAGTCCCAGGCATGTATCAGAAACCTTCTAAATGTTAATTTACTTTATTTTATTCCCTCCTAGGCACCATTCTCTTTCCTGTTCCATAGTCTACCAACTCGTTATCTCTGTATCAGTCCCTTCTTAAAATATATCTTTACATTTACAGATGTTTGTGCATATTTATGTTTGTGCATATTATGGATTTATGTCTTTATTTGCACAGTGTTGAATATTGAGGTCTACATTGATATTTGAGTCATTACCTTTAAGAATCTCAAAATAAACTTCCTTTTCATATAGCTATTTTTATTTCCAGTTGGTATAATCAATACAAAGAAATTTTTTTTGCAGTGGGATTGTTGACTCCAAAATGCGTAAAAGGAACTTACAATTAAAAATAAAGTTTAAATGAGTAACAACATGCTGAAAAATTAAGCATGTGAAAAAACAGTGTTTTTCAGGCATTCATTCACATATTAAGGAAAATTGAATTCTAAATGGGAAAAATAAAACACATCCTTTAGAGGATGTGTTAGAGAAAAGAAAGATAACAAAATCATACTGAAGATTACACTTCATTTTTGTATAAATTTTGCCCAGAATATACCAAGAGGGACAAGGGCAGCAGAGAACAAGTTAGGAAGAGACCTGGTATTCGCCGCTGTATTGGTAATATGGTCTTAGAGAGTGCCTGAAGTCATTTGCTTAAGCTAAGACATTAGAACACAACCATTTCAAAAGAAGAAACAAACATCGGTGTGCTTAAAAGTAGCCATATTTGAAAAACTAATGCCACATTTCACAGAGTTTGCTCGAGTTCTTCATTGTGATATATTGCTTCACTTCACCCTTTAGCAAGCAGGCATTAGGAGCTGCAATGGGGGGACTTTTCAAGAAGAGATTTTTGCTTACTATGCTATTTTATCTTTGTGGCAGAATAATATCTTTGAAATATTAATCAATGTGTTTTATACTCATTCAAGCAGCTGGGCCACTTTAGGATCATTCTATGGGGAAGAATGCTACACAGGGTTGAAAGCAAAATTGTTCCTGGATTTTGTCTTCCAAAAGCCTTGGCTCTTGAGTCTCCCTAGAAGATAAAGTGACAAAAATTTTGAGAGCTGTAGATTGAATGGGAAAATATAGAAATTTACTCCTCTATGCTCTTAACTCATCAGACTAGAAAAAATTCCCTAGACTGGGGAAGATGAAAGACAGACAAGAAAAATCCATGAGCTCATAGATAGAAGTGTATTCTGAATATTAGCATCTCTAACCCTGCCTTCTGTGCCAATCCCCATGAAAGCAGGAAAACCCAAGGTGCTTTCCAAAATCCGAGACCAGATGGTCCCTGTGTCTTTCCCAAAGGGATGAAATGGCTGTGCAGTGAATCTAGGTAGACAGGGGAGGACCATTGACCATCTTCCGGAGATTTTCATCGCTCAGCAGGGCACACAGCATGAAAGGAGCAAAATGATGACTCGTCAAGCATGGCCCTGGGAAGCTGAGAGAGAGGGTTGGCCTCAGGGGTCCAGGTGAATAGGAGCAAAGGACTGAGGACAGAGGCAGAAGGGCTGGTGGACTACTAAGCAGAAACCTGAGAGGCAGATGCTCCACAATCGAAAGCATCCCCTCCCACACCCTCTTCCACACTCTTCTCCCTTCTGTAAGTGCCTGCACAGCAAATGCCATCCCAGAGAGAAAGGTGAGGTGGAACCCTGATTCAACAGAGGGTACACTTCCTCTACCCCAGCAGAGTCAGGGCTGAATATAAATTAACCAGAGGTAGAGAAAAATAAACTATTATGGTTATTGCACAGCTGATTTATGATGTGCGTTCTTATGAAAACCTAATCAAAAGTCCAAAGATTAAAAACCAGACAGCCTGCGTGAGAGAGAGAGAGTGGCCGGAACAAGGACGGGGCAACCCAGTCTCCTGCAGTCAGAATTGTATCCTCCTCTCTGTCATCCCAAGTCTCACTTCCAGTTCTGTTTAAGTTTTGAAGCTGAGAGAAAAGAAGCAATGTCAGAGGGAATTGGGGTCTTTAATATTGTGCACCGCAGTTAGCTCTTGAAGCAGAGTCACTGCTGCGGTGTTTAAAAATGAAGTGCAGTTCTCAACTCTCAGCGCCTCACATTCAGGAACTTCAGTAACAAATTCCTTTCACATTTGTTCCAAAGACTCCCCTTATACCTGAGGGTGAAGCTGTGGGTTTTTCAAGTGTTCAAATGCAGTGTTTAGAGATGGGACAAAGTTTTCATTCCAAAGCAGTAGCAATAGAGAATGACGCCTGAGGCACATCAAGATTTTCTTAGCAGATCCCAAGGAGCCTTGGGCAGGGGGACCCTAGAAGGTAGCCTCTAAAGAGTGGGGGACTGAGACTCTCTGACTCTCTGACTCTGTCAAAGCAGAGACTCTCTCTGCTCTTTAAAACTTTCTACCATTGAACCTAAAAAACTCCATGACACTAAATCACGGTCGGGCGGGCTTTATTTTACAATATGGTGTGGGTATCTTTCACTAATGCTGAAAGAAGCTGACAGATGAGCCATCTATATCCCAGGAAGGAAATAGGACTGGCTGGCTTTTAAGCAAAAACCTTGTGATGACAAAAACAAATACGTTAAGGGCTGGTCAAGGGCAAGTCAATAAATAAAGAGGGAAAGACGGCCTCCCTGGTGTGGCTGCCAGAGGTGAAGATTGATTGCTTTGCGTGTGTTGTGAGAGAAGTTGCATGTAATGCACTTCATATTTGTGCTTCTAATCACACCACTTCTGGCCTACGGAAGGAGGACTCTGATCCTGGACGCCTACAGCCAAGCCTCAGCACAGAAGGGAAATGTCTTCCTTCTGGATGGCCTCCTTTTAATTTGTGGTCTCAATGAAATCACTTGTCTTCTTTTGTGATTCCTCTCAGAGCAGGGGATGGAAGATGATAGGAGCCTCCCCTGGGGTCTGCAGGGTCTTCTTCAGCCTAGAAGAAGGGGCATAGAAGGTTCAGGTCCACCTGGTAATATTTCAGGGACAGCTGGAAGGTTCCTTGCCTGCTTCCTCCAATTGCTCCCAGGTGCTCAAAAGTCTTTTAAATAAATGCAATCTTTCTTTTCACTGTCAGACGGAAAGAATCTCCTGGTAATGTGTAAATGACTGATATCAGATTCTTTCCCAGGGATAGGTTTTGATAAAAGGAAAATAGCATGGAGTTATTATTGACAGCTTTAGACAAGGAAGGGAAATGCCATTTTGCGGGAATAATAAAACAATGGGAAGGGTGAGGTTTCCAAACTTGGTCACTTTACAGTTTTCACATAGGGACAGGCTTATCCAACGGTAATGAAATGGCTTTGCTGAGCTATGTGGAGATGTCATTTAGAATAACCTGCTGGTTGAGAATTCTTATATATTCCATATTATTAACAATGATGTAGGCAGAACTCCCACCAAAACACTTAAAAACATTTGACCTTTTTCAGCTCTGGCTTTCTGGGTGATTCAGCCTTCAAGTAAAATACAATCCTAATATTGGTTCAGTAGCATTCACTGCTGAGTCTGGAGGTCAGTGGGCAGACACCATCAGAATCTCCTTGAGGCTTTTACAAATGAAGAGTTTCAAAATGTTCTTTGTCAATAAGTCTTTTCATCACCAACATATCAATCTCTCTAAATTATGGATTTAACATGATTCCAATAAAAGTATAAACAGTCCTAGTCTGGACTTAAACAAGTTGATTTTCAAGTTCATATGGAAAAATAAACAAGCAAAATAACCTGGAAATGCCTAAAGAACAAGCGGCAAGTGCAGGTGTATTAGAGATCAGCCCTAGAGATATTAGAACATACTAACAAAACCTCCGTATTTAAAGACTGTGTTGTTGCCGTATCAGTACACCATTGAAACAAAAGAATAAAATATGCATAGAATTCAGCATATGGTAGAGATGGACTTTTTCATACAGGGAATTGAGACAACTGAGTATCATGTGCTAAAGAATAAAATTGAATCCATACTTTTCACTATACAACAAGATCCATGTTTTAAATGTGGAAAGTAAAATCATAAAAGTACAAAGGAAACACATGAGAATTTTGGTTTCCGGAAGGCCTAACTATGACTAAAACTTCAGGATCCATAAAAAAAGAGATTAATGAATTTAATTACATTTAAAAAACCTTCTCAATGCAGAAAGAAAAGTCAAAAGAGAAAAGTAACTGCAGCTCACATACAGGCGGAGCACTGATTTCTATGTGGAAAGTACTCTTAGAAAAGAGAAGACTAACAACCAATAACCCAAATGTAAAAATGAACCAATGACAAGAGCAAAGAGTTAGTAGAAAAAGAAACACAAATGCCAGGCATACATCAAGATTACAGTGCCACTCATTGCAAGAAAAAAGCACACTAAAACTACACAAAATGCCCTTTCTCTCTAGGAGACTGACAAAATCCAAATGCTGGACAACAATTCCATTGGTGGGCCAGGAAAAGAGGGGCTGGCGGAGTGCAAAATGGCAGACTCCAGAGATAGGTATTCACAGTGACCTTCAAAATAACAACACACCTACCAGATCTCCATTTTCAGCTGTGATGGGGGAAGAGAAACTGGATTTACTATCTCTTGGGTCTTCACCTAAAGACCCTCCTGATCCATGAGTTGGTCTCAGTTCTGGGTGCCTCTCCTGGTAGAATCATCTTTACAGATTGTAGTTTTTTTTTTAAAAGACTCATTTTCCACACAGCAGGCCCCCAAAACTCCAACCCACTACTTCATTTAGTGTACAACTTAAGAAATAACTATTGCATTGACACTGAAGTCAAACTTGGCAGCATTGGACTCAATGACAGATGTGCTCGTCACCAGCATGGTGACTTCCTAAGAGATTTTCAGAGACTATGTTGACCTTCTGCTATTTTCACCTGCTTTAGACTTCAGCTCTGTGCAAAATACAGATCAAATGAAATGGCAAGAGTACGTGATGTTGAGTCAGGAGACTTACTGTAGGCTTTGGTCTGTCACATAGTCTCTCTGGGTTTGTTCTCGTATTTATAAAATGGAGTTGCCCGACTATGTGATCTCTAAAATCCCCTTAGTTCTAGAATTCTATAAAAATTTCTGATAAGAATACATCACAGTCACAAAGAATTAACAATGCGCCAAGTTAAGGCATAATTACACTGGCTCTAAAATATATAGTTATGCTACTTAATGTTACAATGAGATTTAATTAACTCTCCTTTCCTACTGCCAGAGCCACAGTGGAACAATTGTCTCTGCAAGTCATACAGAGCATTGGTGCCTTGGCTGGGTACTCTGGATCCTAATTTATTCTCATAGCAGCAGGCAATCACCTTGGAAAGCAGCGATGTTTGCTTTGCTGGTGAAGGGGGCAGGCAGTTGCACAGAAAATCTATTTCCACTCTCCCCTAGCAGCCCCAGAACCCTCCCAGAAGAGCTGTGGCACCAGGTGCCAGCTAAGGACTGCGAGAAGGATTTAGCCCAACGGATAAAGTGTGTTCCTCCGGCTGCCTCAGACAGGTGGGTCCATCTGAAGCAAATGTTATGAAATGGACTTTTTCATATAGCCTCGTTGAAATACCCAATGCCCCTAGGCCCCTGTAGCCAACAGGGAACTGTCCGACTTACCCATGATTTTACTCATCTTTCAGCTGGAGCAGACCTTCAAACATAAACCCAAGTCATCCAGGGCACGGAGTGGATTTGTGGAGGCTCCCTGGAGGCTGTTGGCTCCAAATCCCAGGAATGTGTTATATGAAAAAATAAATGCCTTTTTTTTTGCCATCTGTGAATGAAAAAGTTCTTCATATGTTTAACTGTTTCAAATTGCCATATGTGACATACACGCGCATGCACGCACAGACACACACACACACACACACACACACACGCCTGTTTGGGGGCTGGGATCAAGTTGGTAATACAGACTGGGTTCCCTCTTTCACCCTCTGCTTTTTCTTTCAAGGGGGCTAGAGGCAACAAGCTTCCAGGTTTGTAGCCCCAGAAATAGAACAGTTTTAATCTTCATGGGGTGGGAGGTGTGCTGAGGCTGACTTAGCTAGGGCATTTTTCTGGAATTTCAACCATCTGCTGCAATCCTCCCCTCCTATGCCAATTGTTCATCTAAACGGCCCCTACACTGCCACAAAATCATAAACATCTGATGACCAACACTGTGGCAGAATAGGGCACAGGCCCCTTACATTGTCTTATGAGAGGCTGAGGGGTGGAAAGAGAGGGGAGAAGGAAGAAACTAACAGGATTTGCTGAGTTCAACTCTCCTGCATTAACTCTCAATAAGAGAATGAATGGACTTCTTTCAAAGACTTTTTATTTGGTCATTTGCTTGAATTAATTTTGGAACGGTGAAAGCCTGACAAACCAGAGCTTTGCTTATTGTTTACATTTCATTATTCGTCCCTCAAAGCTATTAGAGAATGAAGGTAAAATGCTTAATAGTACCCATTGAAGGATCTATTTTGATCTGACTCTCCCATGGTGATTAAGGGACTGTCAGTGAGTAAGATGCTAACCCATCAAAGCCATTATCTTCTAAATCTAAAGGAAACCCTTTTATGAAGGACTTTTTCAATGAACTCACAGGTATTGCTAAATACATCTTCTTGTAGCAGGCAGTGGATACTGTTGTCTGCCTACCAAGATCAATCCACAAATGTTTCTTTGGCCCACAGGGTTGATACTGATTCCATACATCTGGATAGGGTTTTTATTTAATTATGATCATGTGACCCAACTTTGACCACAGAGATATGAGAGGCTTGGGATTTCTATAAACAGCTGTTTTGGAAATCTTTGCTCATGTCCACTGGTAATCTGATTCTTGTCTACTTCTATGTATTTGGTAAATTGTACCTGCCCATCCCACCGAAGTTAGGCACAGCCATGACAGCATTCTAATCAACAAAATCTAAGACACAGTTACATGTATCACTTCAGGCCGGAGGATTTAACAACAGAAGCTAGACCATCCAGCCTTCTCTTCCCTTGCCACCACAAAATATGAAGTTCTTTTCAACATGAGAGCCTCAATTAGCCTTGGTGCGTTATGGCGAGCCTGCAAGTCTTTAAGACATGGAGCAGGAACAAGCAATACACTTGTATTGTTTTAAGACACTAAGAGTTGGAGGTTATTTGTCACTATAGCATAAATTTGTCTGTTGTGATTGATACAGCTTTTCTTGCTCTTAACAATAGACATGAGATGCAAGAAGGAACAGCCTCTTTTCCTACCCTAAATATGACTTTGGGGCTGATGCTGCTGTCTTGCAACCATGAGGGGACAGATTGTGGATCAACTCAAGTCAGAGGAGGAAACCACCACAGCAAACTCTGAGGACACAGGGCTCTTGATAACATTATTGAACCAGGGAATTCAACCTAGAAGACTCTGTCACCAACCTTCTGTGAGATGATAATCATCTCATTGTTACGCTGCTTTTAGTCAGATTTTCTGTTACTGTCACCCCAAAGCACTCTAACTGATACATTCCAGAAGTGATCTGCCTCTTTCCTACTCTCTGTCTCCATCTACCCACCCACCCACCCATCCATCCATCCATATATCCATGTGACAAGTATAACACATACTTTTTAGGCCATGCCAGCCGTGAAAAACAACACAAAACAAAAAACTACCAGAGTTTTAACTAGAGCCATATGCAGATTTCCTTTAACTCTGGCTCCACCAGATCTCCCCAGAGGTCATCAGTGCTGTTCTGACTACTGATCACCTCCAGGAGTCTACACTGACTCTTCTAAGGCAGTGCTGGAAAGTTGGAGGTTTTCTGAGGTATGAGGCCTCCTTTCTCGAGTATTTTCAGTCCATCTACAAATATGTATCTTGTGGACAGGCTCTATGCTTGGCACTGCAGTGACCACAGGAAATAGCACAGTCACTGCCATCAAAATAGATAGGAGGGCATTAGGCAGGGAAGCAAGACAGACAAATCAACAGGCCACCTGAACACGAGGCTGCCACTGTGACCAGCTGACACCCTGCAGCTTCTTCCTACCTTCTCTCTGGATACCGTCCACTTCTATGGTAGATGGGGGGTGTAATGTCATGTCACGTCAAGTCAGCCAGCCATGCTGGTCCTACATGCTCCAAACCTTCATAGCCAATGATCCCTCAGCCCTGGAAGTGGCTTTCCTTTTGTAGGTCTAGACCAATGCCCTGAGATGCCTTAGAAGCTTTTCTTTAAAGCTCTGCTTTGCCACATGATAGCACTGCTTTCATCATCTCTAACCAGTGATTGCTTCAGGACAGACCCAGGCCTGTAAGGTGCCTTCCTAAGCATCCATCACAAGGATAGGGAGGTAATCTTTATCTCCTGCCCTTAACACCTTGCTCTGGAGCCAAAGATTCTTTCAGAGATAGCAATGGAATGCATTCTCCAGAAGCAGAAGCTTAGATGGCATTTGGGGTGCAAAATGTTTTTTAGGGAATAGTAGTTGTGAGTGGAAGGCAGACCATGCAGAATTAGGCAGAGGGAGAAGTAAAATTATGCTGCAGGAGTAACCGACCCCAGCCAAGCTAGTGGGTGCTTTGGAGAGAGTAATGCCCATCCAAGTGCCCCGAGTTTCGCTGAACAGGCCAGGCGTCATGCTACACTGCCTGACGCAGTCATCAACGAGAGCTGTCCTGGGAGCATATGACTTCAAGCAAGCAGCACTCTGCAGCTTGTCTAGACGGTAACAAAACCGATGGGGGAGGCATCTGTCCGCTGTGTTGCCCAGAGCTGGGTGGCAAATCCTTCCCTGAAGGGGGATCTGCGTGGTGTATTTGTTCTTCTACCCAAAGGGATGTGGGAGTCAAATCTCTGTCCACCGCAGCCCACCCTTTGGACCACTCAAATTCATTTCTCCGTGTATGTTCAGGAAACAACTCTCCCAGGATTTCCATGGACCTCTCTTCCTGAGGAAACTTAGAAAAGGGAAATTCATGGTCCAGTACAATGGCTTTCACCTGTAATCCCAGCACTTTAGGAGGCTGAGGAGGAAGGATTGCTTGACCCTAGGAATCTGAGACCAGCCTGGGCAACATGACAAAACGCTGTCTCTACAAAAAAAAAAAAAAAAATTATTTCAAAAATCACCCAGGCACGGTGGCAAGCACCTGTAGTCCCAGCTACTTGAGAAGCTGAGATAGTAGGATCCCTGAAACCCCAGGAACTCAAGGTTGCAGAGAGCTGTGCACTGCACTTGGCCCAGGAGACAAAGGGAGTCCTTGTCTCAAAAGAAGAAAAGAAAAGGAAAATTCATGAATAAATATAGCGCCCATGTGATTGTCTGGGCAGGGCAGGTGTTTGGGGACCCACAGGTGACCACCATTGTCTCCTCCTCCACTATTCAGTTCAGACTCCACTCACTCTCAGGTCCCACCTCTGTGCACCTTTGTGGCTGGGCCCGGATCATCGTCTCCAGGGGGCCAGGCCTCTAGTCACCATGTCCTTCTCTGATTAGGGTTGCTGACCCTGTCCACTGACAGTTACAATCGGGCAAAGGAGCGAAAAAGCACCCAGTGGGTTCCTCACATATTCCTCCTGCTCCCACGGTGTAACCGCGGCCCATCCTCTGCTGATGATCAGGTTCAGTCACCTCTACCACTGCTCGTGCCCACTGGTCCCTGGATACAAGGATCTTGAAATGCCTGACCAGAGAGCAGGGACATCATTATAGCCCACAATTCTGTATCTATCCCAGTCATGGCTCATTTCTTTTTCTACACAAGTTGATGCCAGGTATGGCCCTTGAAACTGCCCTTTGGGAGGATGGTCCCTTGATGCTGTCATTCAAGGCCACTGCTGATGAGGCTATATTGAAGCTACCATCTATTTTTGGCTTATACCTAAACACTGAGCCACCCATCTGTAAAGCAAACTCAGGCTTTCCCTCCATTTTCAGCTGGTCACATACTATGCCCCACACCCTCATGAGCACGAACCAAGGCAGGGTCTGTGCAGTGGTGGTGGTGCATGGATCAGGGCCACCTGTTCATGCAGCTTGATTGAGTATTTCATCCCACCTGTGTTTGATCCCAGATGTGTCACTCCCATCTCACTGCTGGTGTTGCCTGACCTTTTGATGTGGTGGGCCTACAGAGCCCAAACCATGACAGGCAGTTCAGGCTGCACGGTCACTTAGTGTCCTGTGCTTAGTGTGACCAACAGTCTCAGTTTGCACAGAACTGGGGGCTTCTCTGTGACATGGGACTTTCAGAGCTAAAACCAGAAAAGCTGGGAAGATCTTGGGCAAACCAGGATGCATTGATCAGATACTCTGTCTGTAATAGGGCCTAGTTAGTATGCCAGGAGTTCTATTTCAAAAGGTGTGTGATTCTCCACTGAGGATAACATGGTTTCACTGCAGAGCATCAGAAACTTGCGTTGTTATTCTCCCACTGGGGTTTTGCTATACCTTCTTTGGAGGCATTCACCCAGATGTCCTTATTCCCCCGGTCAAGTTCCCAGCTTTTCTCCACCAGAGCCCTGACCTTTGGTTAACAGACCTGTCTTGGTTGTATCAGCCACTCTGACTTGAAGTCCTGGGCGTAGTCCTTGGCTTTCTGCATCCTCCAGCTGGAGGAGATGAGAGCTTCACTGCGTGTGACCAAAGAGTCCCTGGGGCTTGCATTCCTGGCTGTCAGTTGCTTATTGCTCATCTTTAGCTGTGTATTATCTTTTTGGAGAGGATCAGTGATGCTTAGCAATAGCCAATCCCACTCTCTTTATGTCTGCTTATTCTTAAGTGCCAGGTGCCCTGTAGATT